CAGAACAGAACATGGAGAAACAGAATGGTTCCCAGTTGGCAAAGGGATTAGACAAGTCTGTATGTTTTCACCCTATCTGTTCAACTTGTATGCAGAACATATTATAAGAAAAGCAGGCTTGAACACAGAAGAACGAAGAGTGAAAATAGGAGGAAGGAATATCAACAATCTAAGATACGAAGATGACACCATAGTACTAGAAGAAAACCTCACAGTCCTGGAACACCTGCTAAGGAAGATCAAAGAAGAAAGTGCTAAGGCAAGCTTAATGTTAAACATAACAACAAAAATAATGACCACCGAGGACCTTCACAAGTTCAACCTAGACAATGAAGAAATAGAAAATACCTGGGATCAAACATTGATAGAAATGGGGACTGCAGTCAGGAAATCAGAAGAAGATTAAGAATGGAGAGGGCAGCAAAGTGCAAAGATATACAACTCAGCACAAAAGTTAGAATCATACAAGCCATCATATTCACTATTACCATGTATGGATGTGAGAGCTAGACAGTTAAGAAAGATGAAAGAAAATAAATTCATTTGAGATGTGCTGCTGGAGAAGAATGCTGAAGATCTCATGGACAGAGAAAAGGAAATGGGTCCTAGAGCAGATCAAGCTGAAAACCTCCCTGGAAGCCAAGATGACCAAACTGAGGCTGTCATACTTCGGACACATCATGAGAAGGGAGGACTCATTGGAAAAGACAATAATGCTGGGAAAGGTGGAGGGACGTAGGAAGAGAGGAAGGCTATATGCCAGATGGATGGATTCTATTAAGGAGGTCACGGGTATTAAGAGGTTGCAGGAATTAAGCAGAGCAGTGGAGGACAGAGGGTCTTGGAGATGTCTCATCCATAGGGGCACCATGGGTCAAGATCGACTCGAGGGCAGTTAACAACAACAAGTGACTCTGATAACAGTGAGTTAGTGAATCCATATAACTTTAAAAGAAGTTTCCAATGTGCTGGACCTATCTGGGAGATTTAATTCCGTACACGTTTGCATGCTGACATCTTGATGTGAGAAAACCTATTACTTGGACTTACTTATTACTTGATGTCCTGTTATTTTCAAGATGTGCTTTGGTCAAAAGGCTGTAGGTGGCATGAAAGGATATGATTACAGTGAGTAATTTATGGATGCAAAATAAGTCAGAGCAATCATACTGTAATTGCAGTTGCATAGCAATCTAGATATGCTTAGCAAGCACTGGCAGTGCAAATAATACTCTCCCTCACCAGGCCCTTAAACATATGGACAACAGTGCCTGCTGTTCTGTTACTACATCAATATATAGATTACTACTAACCATTAGGTATTCAAAAAGTTTACAGGGCAAAAGGAGCAGTATACCAGCAGTTATCAAGCTATTTGAAGCAAAGTCATTAGTACAACTCCTATATAATGCCCAGCTATGCCCTTTCTCACATTCTGTTCCATTAGAACTTATACAATCAAAATTCTTGAGATCAGTATGTCAGGTCCCAAAATGTGTTATTAAACCCACTCTGAGATTGGAGGCAGGCTTTATAAGATAGAGGCTAGAGCATGGATGTCCATAATTATTGGCTCAAATTATCATTCTCAT